AATAACAGATAAGAGATAAAGTCTTAGTGAAAACAAACATTTGAAATGTATTTAGGAGGTTTTAGAGATTACACAAATGAAATTTGAGATTTCTGAGATGAAGTATTTTCAGCCTTAACATGAAAATAACATTGCACATGGACTATTCAAAACAAATACTCAATATATTCATAGACAAATCTTTTTTAGTTTATTTAAAATACCTCACAAAAAAAATATGACTTTTTGTATATGAAAGACTGCCAAATTTTGTGAAGTTATACATACTATATTAAAAGTTAGTAGTATCAAATTTATAAAGACTTTAAACAAGTACAAAGAGGTCATGTGGTCGGTCACGTTACTATCGAATTACATTACCCACAAGCTGCTCAAGTGCATGCCTCATGAAACATTTTTATTATTATTATTTCTTTTAACTAATCTAACCTGAAGAAATCCCTATTTTTACATTTTTAGTTACTTTTATACTAATAAATAAAAATAATTATGAAAAACAAAAATAAAGTACTTACCCGGGTCTTTTTTTCTACTGTTGACTGCTGATGACACTTTTGTACTTATGCACTAAATACTTTTTATTTACTTAAATAATGCACGAAAGAACATAGAATAATATCATGCAAAAAGTAGACAATTTTTCCTCACTATCACAATTTGTCTGGCTTTCTAACTATGCAACAAGAGCAGTTACAAATTCATCCAAGCTAGTCATTATCTTTCCTGTGAGAACGAAGCTTGTACTAACAGTGAAATTGACAATGTAATATAAGACATCATTTGATAGACAAAAACCTTGGCTTTCTATTGGTTATATATAATATAGAATTAAACGTAAGAGAGAGAACTATTAACAAATCTGAAAAAGAGGATGTGACAAGAGGAGTCTGATTTTCTATTTGATAGCTCTGTAACCAAACAAACTTGAAGGCAATAAAAATTATGGTTTGTCTGAGCAATGATTATTTTATAGTAATTTACATTTAATTGCATACTTAGAGGGGTGCTGGATGAAATAAAGAGGAGATGCCTAGAGAAAATGTGTCACACAAGGGAAAATTCAGGATTTTAAATAATATTGGCTTATAAAATTAAGAACTTAAACCTTGTATACTATTAAAATATGTGTTATTAGCTAAGATTTTGTGGTATACTAATTGGTATAACATAAGCAAAAAGTAGTTGAATAAAATTTCGAATGTAAGCCACTAAAACCTCGTGATAAGAGCAGTAAAAGAAGCCCGTGGCAATAGGTTTATTTTACTATCAACAAAAAAGTAATACAACTTACAAAAAATCTTTTAAAACATGAAGAATAAAAAATAATAAACTGATAAAACTTGCATTCTATAATCATAACTAACAACCTAAATTATTATGCTTCTTATGTTACAAAATGAACTAAGAATAATGTACTAATTATTCATTTCTTTATAAAACTAAAATGAAGTTCAAATAAGGAAGGTGTAAATTTTTGTATAAATAACGAATAAAACATATGTTTTACAACCCAGCTTTCCAGCTGTAATACAAAATAATCATAAATAATTTATTTTTAAAAAACAAAACATCACATGAACATATTGTGAAAACTAACAATCACAGATAACTTACATTATACAAGATGAGTACAGAGAAGAACTGAATGAGGCTGTAGAGAGCAATAAATCTGAACATTGAGAATGATGTTACCAAAGCACAGCGCCCCTCCCTGGAAAAAGACAAAAAACAGAAAGATGAAATTTTACATTAACCATATTCAAAAGAGCTTTATATATCACTCAAAGTACTGATAAAGCAACTACTTGTCTAGAGCATCTTGAACAATGAGGTTAACAAATCACTCAAAAATAATTTTATTACAGTAACTTCTCTTAGATATTGAAAAACAAGAAATAAGAGCCATGGGTCTTTTTTCTTGCTGTAGGGTTTTGAAGAGAGTTAACCCTAATCTTTTACAGTATAGATAGTAATGCGCTTAATTTTTATTTAATTAAATAAAGCGCCAATGAATATAGACTAGTAACATGCAAAAAGTAAACAAATTCACTTACCTCTCAAAATTTTCCTGGCTTTCTAACTATGCAACAAGAGCCATTAAAAATTCATCTAAGCTAGTCGATAACTTTCCCATGGGAACAATGTTGATACTATGAGTGATATTGACATCTAACTGTTCAGACATAACGTTATACAATACGTCATTTGATAGATAAAAACCTTGACTTTCTATTGGTTATTGGTAATACATAATGAAATGTAAGAGAGAATTATGAACGAATTCTGAAAGAGAGAGCCATCAAATAGAAAATCAGATCTCTCCTGCCACACCCTGTCACCAAACAATATTGAAGGCTATAATTGAAGGTTTGTCTGGGCAATAACGATTTTATAGAGTAATTTATATTTAATTTTGTATTTTTTTGAGGGGTGGTTTATAAAATAGGGAAGATAACATGCTAAGAGAAAATGTGTCACGTGGATCACACTATTGGAAATTCAGGATTTTTTAAAATATTGCCTTGTAGAATTAAGAACTAAAAACTTGTATACTATTAAAATATGGATTATTTAGCTAAGATTTTTATGCTATTCTAATTGGTATAACATAAACAAAAAGTAGTTTAACCCAATAACTGCCGGCTACTAACTTTCTGCATAGCCAATGCACATCTTGCTATATTTCATTCCAACAATAAAACTACAGGATTAAATTGTTTGAAACTTCATAAGAACTTTCATAAATGCACGTAGTTTAAGAAACATAAAGCCTGTTACTTTTGATAAATTTAGTTTTTTTTTTGCATTATGATCTTCAATATCTTAGTAAATTACATTAGGAAATGGTATTTATAATAAATGATTATGATATTTATATTTGTTCCAGATTTGAACTTATTACCTCTTATGTTCTAGTACATTATTTTAAAATCTCAAAAAACTTTTTATCATCAATAAAATGCAAATTTTGTCCATTTTTAAATTTTTTAATAATCACGTACTCTCCTTATTGTGTCAAGTAATATATAAGACCCTGAAAATAATATTTCCAAGTAAACCTAAACAATAAAGAAGTATTTTTTATTTTTAACTAGGATTTCATGTTTATGTATGTACATAAAAACATTTTTATTTTGTTTCAAGTTTATGTTTTATTGCACCCGTACTTTTGTTTACTCTGCCCAATAAATCGTGAGGTTAGCAGTGTGAACTTTGTACATTTGCCGTAAACTATCATGCCTGTTGGGGGTCACTCTCGTTCAATCCAGCGCAGGTGCATTTCAACATTATTGTAGATATGATAGTAAGAAAGCTTTTTCGGTACTTGAATGTGATTTCTTTGAACTTTCAAGCAAGTATATTTAAACATATGTCCTTGTATGTTGTTTCACTATACAGACAAAACTAATTGCCACTACTAGCAAATGTATGTAATAGTTTACACTACAGGTGGTTTGAATAACACTGCCTGACTCTAGTTACATGATACATCCTGTTACAAGAGATTACCAAATGATACAGACACCATACATTACAAAGAAAATTACTTTACAGCACTTAAAAGATTAGTCCTGGTCACATTCCACTCATTATAGGCAAGATTTATATTGGAAATTGAAAATTAAGCTCTTCGGTGAATTGACATTAACTTTAAGAATGTCAAAGCTTCCCCTGTATTATTGAGACGAATGTATTTAGTCTGTTTCACAACCAACATATGGGTTTTATTTTTTTCACTTGTACACTGAGTTTTAAACTATTTTCAAAACATCAGTATAAAGTTTTTATATATCAGTTAGACTGTTTTAATTATAAAGCAACAACAACAGAAGTGTGGGTCTTACTACAATGTAAAGATTGTAAGATGGAAAAATATAAAATTATTACGTGGTACTGGTACTACTTAGCTACTATAGAAAAATAATAATAGTCACATACATCCCATGCAGTTTTTTTTCAGAAGCAAATTTTCTAAAAGTACTAGTGAATGATACTAAATAAAACCTCTGCATACAAAGGCAGTAACTATAATAAGCACCCTTCATGTTCATATTGTAAAATCCAGAGAACAACATTTTGTCACACACTTTGTTTATCATCCTATGATTTGCCAAACGTGAAATATAGCAATTGGAATAACATGGTACTGAAATTAACACCTTTGACTATGATTGGCTAAAAGTTTTACAGCTGAGGTTTAACACACCCAGACACTGTTTTATAAAGAAAACAGACTAGAAAAAGTTTAGATACCAATCATAGATGGCAGGACCAATGCTAAAGTGCAAGTAAAAAATTTAAAAAAATGTTTAAAACAATTTTTTTCTTACAGGGTGTTTATTTAGTCTCAAACGTATTTTGGGATTGTTTTAAATTAAATTTCTCTTTAAACTTCAATAAATAATACAATTTTTACAAATAATTGAATGTTATGCTACTGTTGACAAAAATAAAATCTGAAATCCAATAAAAGATATGTTCACTATAATTTTTTCAATTCACAAATGTGATTTTGCCCTCACAATAAGACAAAATGGCCCTGGTAAGTAAGGGGTTAATAAAATTTTGAATGTAAGACCTTGTGTCATGCGCAGTAAAGGATACCCATGGCGATGGGGTTACCTGAACCTGCATATATTTTAATTTTGTATAATAAGATAGTTTAAGTAACTGTTTGAACTACAGAATAATTACCTGATAACAATGGGTACACACTCTATGTTGGGAATCTTGGATGTGAAAGGAGCAGCAACCGATGCTTCAGCTTCAGACAATGAGATTCCAACATCAGCAGCTTTTAAAGCCTAAATACAAAGAATTAATAAAATATTTACACTCTTATGACAACAGAAATATTGACAAATGTTTTATAATTTCAAAAAGTTTCATAAGGAACATAATTCTCACTTGGAAGCTAGAATTTTGTAGAAATTCTCTATTATAAGATTACACATGTAATATTGCAAACATTTATAGAATATAAGGTTATCAGATCAAATAACTATCACACTACTAACACATATCATTCACAAATGATAATTTAACAAATTAAGTATTTATTACATGACTTTCTAAGATCTAAGAAACTCAACATCAGAAATTAATACATCTATTATATTACACTGAACTAACAGAATTAACAGACTGAACATTAATTACAGAGTTGTTCATGACCTATGAAATGGATTTGACAATTCAATCATTTTGTCCCTGGCCATTCCCAAGGCCTGTGAATTCTCAGGATAATAGCTCTGCCTCTCATGTTGCGATTCAGTTGACGTGTGGTGATATTGGAGTGCAGATAGAGCCTAAAACTGACCTCTTCTGGGACATTTACATTACAAAACTTTACAAACATGAAGTTTGAGCCATATCAGTTAAGTAAGTGTAGGAGAGATCCCAGAATAGATAAAACAGGCAGCTCCATGACTGGCAACCAGATACACAACAGAAGCAATAAAAAAAAATAAACAGTTTGTCACTGGAAGTAACCACGATCATGGAATTCTATTACAAATAAATTAGGAACTTCCTTGAAACTGTAAAAAAATAATCCTAAAGGAGTTAGGTCTATAAAAGCAGCACAAGAGCCATATTCACAAGCTTCTTTCGGAGCAAACAGTCAAAAGTTATACGAGTGGTATCTGGCATGTGACAATGAAAGTATGCCATGACACTGGACAAAAATATATGTTTACGTAAATGTTTGAAAAAGTCCAGACAGTTTACTGATGTTCTTGTGATGACAAAAAATTTCAAAAATGTTAAATAACATGCCACATAAATTTTTTCCAGAGGAGTTTATTGTGGTTGTAAATTACAGCTACAAGGGAGAGTTAAACATCTGGAGTGTTCAGAGAAATACCAAAATAAACTATGCACGATATCAGGCTAATGTACTGACATCACTATACCATGGGGAAATACCATATCTGTACAGATGGGATAGCAATAAGATATGGCTGCATTAACTCTATGGCAACCATGCACTATGATTTGTAACATGTAATACCACTCTCTTGTCATATTTCATTTTAAAACTCAAACTTGTGGATGAAATTGCTTAAAATTTGACAAGAAAGATCCTAAAAGTACATAGTTTCAGAAAAATAAAACATTTAATTGTGATTTTTTCTACTATTTCTAATTAAAAATTCATTATTTAATGTAGTTATTTGCACTTTGAATAGTTCACCTGCAAGGTGATTTTTATATAAGGTAGAAAAATACTATTTTCTATCTTAAATTTTTCACATTTCATTTGTATAATTTCTAGGACCTCATAAGTGAATATCAAACATTTTTTTTAACCCTATTGCCATGGGCATCCTTTACTGCGCATGTCATGAGGATTTAGTGCCTTACATTCAAAATTTAATTAAACTATTTTGTTTATTTTATACTAATTACTATGGAATAAAATTGTAGCTAATAATCCATATTTTAGTATAATATAAGTTTTAATTTCTTAATTCTATGAGGCAATAATAAAAAAAAATCCAGTTTCTATTAGTGTGAGAAATGTGACATTTTTTCTCTAAGCATCCCCTCTCACTAATTTATTCACCACCCCTCCAATAAGTACATAATTAAATATAAATTACTCACTATAAAATCATCATTGCTCAGACAAGCCATAATTTTTATAGCCCTCAATGTTGTTTGGTTACAGAGCCATCAAATAGAAAATCAGACCCTTCTTGCCACACACACACACACACCTGTCACATCTTCTCTTTCAAAATTTGTTAATAGTCCTCTCTGAGTCTTAATACTATATTATGTATAACCAATAGAAGCCAAGGTTTCATCTATCATATAATGTATCATATTACATTGTTTTATGAATAGAGAATTGTCATTTTCACTGTTAGTACAAGCTTCATTCCGTTGGGAAAGATAATGACTAGATAGGATATATTTGTAACAGCTCTTGTCACATAGCTGGAAAGCCAGAACAATTGTGATAGTTAGGGGAAATTGTCTGCTTTTTGAATGTTATTATTTTATGTTCATTGGTGCATTATTTAATTAAATAAAAATTATTTAATGCATTACTACCCTCAGTATAAAAAAAGCAGGGTTAAGTGTCATAGACAGTAAACAGCAAAAAAAAAAAGAAAAGAAGACATTGGTGATTTGATAATTGTATAAATAAGTGCTATTTTTGCAAAACATTACACTCCTGAGGATGATGCAGTAGTATACATCGAAACATAGAGTGTATGAGATTGTTTTCCAGTTTCTTTCAGTTTTTAACAACTTTTTATCAAGTACAGTAAGTTATTGTATTTTAGTAATTTTGAGACTGGAAACAATCTCATTTTTAAAGAATTGTGTATAAAATAATCATTGGTTTTTAAAAATTGTGAGTTTTTAACATTGAACATTACACATGTGCCAAAAAATGTTTTTAAATTAGGTGTTGTTCACATGTTCTTACAGATGAGTAGGAAAGTTTAATGATTACATATGTTCAAAAACAGAAACTGTAATCATACTAAAGATTCTTCTGATATTAATATTTTGTTCTTAAATGACTTAAGAGCATACTTTTTCCTAAAACAAAAAATTAAAACAATGGTATTAATAATAGAGCTATCCTTATGATAAAAACATAATACATACCCCACAGTCATTGGCCCCATCACCACACATACTGACAATGTACCTATAGGAAGTTAAATGGATTACTAGTTTGAAATGGTCAGGCACTACATTATATACACCTGGAAAAAAGTTAAGCACCCCCGTGTTTTTTTCAAGTGATTCAGATTCGACATTCTTGTGACTGATTATAAATTACCATTCAATCTAAACGTGTTTATCAAATGAAATTATGCATTATTGGGCACAAGAAAACAAGATTATCACCGTAAAATAACAATTTTTAATTTACATATCATGACATCAAAATATGGACAGTTTTCATGCTTAAAATTATTTTTAATAAGTATTGT